TACAGTTAAAAAACTTAGAAATCAGAATGCAAAAAGTTCTGAGAGAAATAACTGAGATGTTTATCTAATTGTGAAAGATCAAACACGCTGGAAAATTAAGAAAAATGAATGTGAACAATCTGCTTGTGATCCAGGAAGTTTTGTAAATGAATTTAAATTCTCTATCTATAATTCAGGAAGACATCTGTATTTCTTCTATTTGTTTTTCACAACTTCTTGTACTTAGCAGAAATACTGTTGGCCGAGACTGAGCCCTTTTGTGTTGAAAACTGGTATAAGCATAACTTTCTGTAGACACAGACTCTTTATTTAAGAACACTAATTCCTGATGTTTTATAAATAGACTTTCCACTATTATAATTCCAATTAAAATCTGTGGGTCCTGAGATTTCACTTAACACCTGAACTAATAAATGCAGGGACATGCACTGTGGAGGGAGCTGAACTGCCTTTTCGTGAAGTGTTTCTTCTACTGTTTTATTTTGTTCTGACCCTTGCTTTTCTGAGCTATTTCTGTACCTCTACATAAGACTGAATCACATACAAGAAATACGAGATATCATATGAGAATGACATACAATATTTAATGTCATATTCTTTTTTGAGCACGTGTGATAGTGATGGAATTGGAGTGCCTACCACTTCCCTTTGGAAGAAAGTCACCTGTTAACTGTAAGGAAAAGAATTGTGTGTGTGTGTTCACAAGTGCATGCACACATGCGCACTCATTCATATATTGCATGAGGATCATGTTTGTATTTATTGAGGACCATTTTCTAATGGTCTAGTTTAAGTAATAGGCAACAGATAGCACATTTGTTTTGCTGAAGAGCTGAAGTGGGAGAAATGTGAATGACTTCTGTGGGTTGGCATGATTTGAAACTGAAAGAGAAAGTGGGAAAATGTTTTTGTATGTATGTTTGTTTGTTTGCAAGGAGAATTCGGAACTGAGAACAAAGCATTTGAGATTGTAGGGGTTTTGCATACTCTTCCTCTGCTCTTTTTCTTCTCTACATAATTGCTATTTAGAAGAACAGTCAGATGCAACACTGCTTTCCATCCAGTCGCTTTTAAGAACAAGAGCTTCACAGATTATCTTTACGCAAATATAGAAGATAAAATCAGAAATGATCACTCTCTATTTTAAAATTAGAAAAACATTCCTCGTTTTTGTTTGTTTTGCTTTGATTCCCTCACATTTGACTATTGTAAAGAATTTGCTTGGCAGATTGAGTTTTAAGAAACTTACTGGAATCTAACCAACCAGGATATTTTTTTAAGGGTGGCCTTCAACAGATGTTTTTTCACCTCTTATCTACAGGTAGAACCTGATAGCAGGTATTAGACTGTCAGCACATCTCTAAATTTACTTTGATGCAGGCTGGCAGAAGCAATAGGTACTGCAAAACTAATCTTTCCAATAACATATGTCTCCTGAAAGAGACAGGACTGTATGTATTAAAAATATTTTGATTGAAGGGAAAAATATATTGACTAGGATTCTCTTATCTGATACTTACTTTTATCTACTGGCAGTCTTCCCTCTTCCTCTCTTCTCTAGTCCCACAAGGAATAAAAAGAGGCCTGTGCTCCTGGTAGAGCTTCTTTTATATATATACATATATATAAAAATCTTTTTTTAAAAAAAATATTATTAATCATGTAAATACTTTCTTTTGGTTTTGCTCTCCTCTTTCAGTTTTTCAGATGAAAAAGTAAGCTATACCTATTTTCAAACAATCAAACTTCCTTCCACCTCTCTATGAACTCATGTCCACCTTAGAAATAATATGGTGAATAGTTCTATAAAACAAATACTTGACTGCAGATGTTCCTTTAGTAACCCTATAAAATATGTAGTTTGGCTGCCAGATACTGTCATACTTATTGACTTCTTTTTGCTCATGAATAAAAATCCATTTTACATTGTATTTTTGAACAGGAGACCTTGGGTCTGTATATGGAAGGAAAGGATTTCATGGATCAGGAATTTTATTTTAGCACCAAGACAAAAACCAATTTATTGCAAATTGAACTTTTAACAGAACATTTAACTGATAAATAGGTAAACAATAAAAAGATTAATTAAAATTTAATTATGGAGTAAGTGCAATTTTAAATTATCGGGAGTACAGCACATTATTGAGTCAAGGAGTAATTCATTCAGTGCTATTTTGGTTTCGTAGTAGCCCAAGTTTTAAGCAAGATACTACTGTATGACTGTTTCATGCCTGATAGAGATGTTTCAGATTTCTTATCTGTCCAGATGCCTGAACTCTCTGAACAGGAAAGCATTTGTGTGCTTCATGGCATCACTGGTACATCCATGTTCTGGGCTGTTAGAAAACTGGGGATCATCTGTAGTAGGCCTGTCTTCCCTGCAGCTCTGCCTGTGTTCCTCAAAATCCATCAAGGCCATTTGTATTTCTTTCGTTTGCCAGATGGCTCACATTTGCTTCAGGCAGGCCTTCATCTGTGCAGTGGAAATTTCCTTTTACATCAAAGCAGAAAAAATACTAAGTAACATAAAACTGGCACTTTCTCTTTAAAAAATTACTTCCTGATATTTTTAAGGACACCTATTGTATGTGGTTTTTGTTTGTTTATTCAAAGTACAGAAATTTTTAGAATTTGAATTAATAGAATACAGTTATTATATTTAGGGATGAGTATGAGAGCATTTAAATGTCTTGTCATGAAGCTTGTCATTTTATTTATTTATTTATTTATTTTTTCTTGCTTGCTTCCTTGCTTTTTAAGCTATTCTCCTTTATCATGAAGAAATATTTCTTTTTTAGTGCAGGTGTCAGTCTGACACAGACATTGACTATTATTTAAAAACTTTTTGAGGTAAAATTATAGAGATAAGATTGTTTCTCCAAAGTAGATTGCTTTTCCAAACTAGCAACAAAACTCAGAGAAAATGTTTGTGTGCATTTTCTCCTTTTTACATCCCTGTTTTCTAGAATGAGATAAAAAAATATGTAAGAACATTAGTCATGCTTCAGAGGAAGTCTGGCTGAATGCTGAGAATAAAAGCCAACCCATTCCTCAAGCATTAGCATTTGAACATAGTTTTCTTAAAATGTCACCTTTTTATTGCAATCAGCATAAGTGTCAGTGTGTTATTCCACTGTTATTCCAGGCCTTCATAACTCTGACCACCATTTACCTTCATTGGAATTTGCTGAATCCATGGCAGGAACGCAAATTCATGGGGTCAAAACCAAAACAAATAATTTGGAACTCTTCTCACCTAACTCAGCTGGAAAAGAAAAATTACTTGCATTAGCTTTGGGGAAAATATCTGTGTATGTGTAATTGTTTAGTTTATATTCATGGTTGTGTAAAGCAAGCTAGATCTGAAGCTGCAGTTTTACGCTTATGTTAGCTCAATATCCAGAAATTATTCAGGAAAAGCTTGCTGAGGATGCCCAGCCAGCACAGTGGAAGAAGGTGCAGCACTGTCATGACCTCATATTGCTCATTTGCCAACCCATTGTGGAGAGCAGCCAACAGCAGAGTCCCACCAGCAGCTCATGACCTGTCCCATAATAGAGAGATGCAGTGATTTGGTCCTGAATGCGCTAGCTGATGTTTTGAGAGAGTTTCAAGCTGATGTTGAGCTCAGGCAACATGGCTTTCTTTGCTCAGGATCAGGCTATAATCACGTGATAACTCCTGAGTCTTATCTCACCTGTCCAGAGTAACATCCTGGCTTAAATCTTAACAGACTCAAGAAGGTGAGAAACTACTTGTCATCAGTGTGTTCTCAGCTGTCAGAAGAGCAGGCTGGTTTAAGCTGGAATTGCTGCAATGTCATGTATTGCCTTCTGCATTTTGCCACACAAGAACCTGTCCCAGTGGCATTATCAGTCCTGGCAGGTATACAATACTGAATGCTAAGCTCTCCAAGAGGAGGCCCAGGTTGGAGCAGAGGGATGTAGAGAACTTCAGAAGGTGAATAATTGACTGTATCTTGACTGTGCAGGGGATGAGAGAATGCACAAAATAATTTTCCCGGAAGTGGGAAGGGGAGGAAAAGCAATCATGGCAGAAAAGTCAGAGATTACATCCCTGAGTCCTGGGAAAGAGAACCCAAAGAAACTTCATTCAGAAGTGTACGGATTTTACCAGTTGTGGCTGCAGTGTGTGTGGGTTATGGAAAATGCGAGAAATAAAAAACAGGACAAGATCAGATGTGTGTTGCGATGATTTTATGTACATAATCTCTCTTAGCAATACTGTCCAATGACATACAATACTATGAAAGTCTAGGGATTTTGAGTCCTTTATCCTCTGAATAATATGATTTAAAATAAAGCTTGAAACTTCAGTGCCTTCACTGAAAACTTCATGGAGATGATTCATGTACAGCCTGTGAATAAAACAGCTTTTGGTGTTTTGAAGACCAGGGGTGGACAGGGGTTTTTCACTCAAAGGACTCATCTGTCATGGCATGGGTACCCACAGGCAGGTTGTTTAGCTGGGATGCTTTTACATTCCTAACTCAGAGGAGAGTTAATGAATAAGCCTCACAACTTCAGTGAATATTTAGGAGTTTACAAAATAGTAATGGAGTTTGTAAAATGTTAGTGTTTCAAATATATTCACTATCCTTTATTAAAATGATATATTTCATTATTGAATACACTTGGGGATCAGTCTGTCAGGCAGTGTGGCACAGATACAATGTCAACTTCCTTGCTAATTTGTTCCTCATAGTAACAATACCGGATGCAATACTGTAATGCCATGTAATGGAGTAGGGAAAATGTCTCATATTCAGGTGATCTTTTTTTCAAGTCAGTTATTTTTATTAGTTTTTGACCCTCTAATCTTATTAATTTCTGATATTTGCAGTTTGTTAGCTCTCTTCAAAAAGCAGGTACTGGTGTTTGCACAAAGTCCTTCTGCCCTTATTACTTACGCTACACAAAAATATAGTTCTGCTTCTCTCCCCCTCCTCTCCCTTCAGAGGTCTTTAGAGCATGTAAAAGGAACACTTTAATGGGCTTTTTTTTTTTTTTTTTTTTTTTTTTTTTTTTTTTTTTTTTTTTTTTTTTTTGGCTCAATTGATGCAGCTATGTATTATTAGCCTAGTGTAACTCTAAAAAGCTTATGAGGCTTCATGGAGTAGCTGAACTGAACATAGGTTTTATGTTCCATACCTAACAGATCATGCAAGTTTCTGTCATTGTCAGTTAGGATATGCTTGATCAAGTTCAGTCAGGCCACAAATGATGAGATGTTTTTTCTTCACTGTGTGATACATCTAAAAGTCAATAGGCAGGTTATTAAGGGGTCTAGTTCAAAGTTTCAGAATTCACAGTTATTGTTACCAAAGCTAGATATAGTTAAGTAGGTGCCAAAATTATGTTTTCATAATTCACTTACATCTCAGTGGCTTTTTCAGGTGAATGTCTGTGTCTACACACAACTGTCACAAAGCAGTGAATTATTTTGGAGTTTGTAGGCATAGAATCTTATCCTCCTTGGAAATCTTTCTATCAACAAAATCATGGTAATTTAAACAATATTTGGAAAAGGATTTTTCACTGCAACTGTTTATATTTTCCTGCTGATTTTACTTGTGCTACCGATAGTAATAAGCATATAAAGCCACTAAGGGCAACAGAATACATCTTTTGGTCTTTCTGCATTGTGTGTTCATTTCAACTAAATGCAGAACTTAAAGAAAGTAAAGTATGTTCTAAATAAATAAGTTCAGTGTCCTCTTTTATTTCTTATTTTTTTCTTTTCCTTGGAGCTTCAATCCTCAGAAAGAATAGAGGGGCATCACTGCAGCTTAGAAAGAGGGACCATAAGGCTTGTAAGTGAGCTTGTAAGTACTTGAGTAAGTACTCACTTACTTGAAAGTAAGTGAGAGTTGAGTTTTCAAGAGGAAATATTATGCAAACTAAATAGATCTTAATTTTATTTATTTATTTATTTATTTATTTATTCACGAATAAGTGCATTTATATTTTGCATTTCATGGAAATTTTTCTGATTCTTAGCTACGTTATACTGGCATTGGTTTTCTGAATGACCATCAAGGATGGGACAAAATAACCGTCGGAGTTAACTGCAAGTTTTAGCAAACTATCATTCTACGTCTCTCCTGCTTTCTTGCTCCCATTTAGGACATAATACCTCATTTTTAGTGCCTGCTCTGTTAAAAAGAAATAGTTCTCTTTTAACAGAAATTAGGAAACTGACCCGTATGGAATAATGGGTCATAAGCTGCTATTTACTGTTTGGACTCCATAAATGCTCAGCGAGCATCAATGACTGTCAGTTGATGGGGTACCATTTTTTCCATATGGAGCCATTCAGTGACACACCATTGCTTCATGCACACTTCCATAACAGGCACCATTTTATCAGACTGCCCCTCTGCTGCCATCTGTTGCAGGCAGTGAAATTTAGTGGAATATAGTCAGGAAGGTTCAACTTCTACTGCCTTAACCAAACATCATAACCCCTACATCACAGACAAACATTGTGAAATAGGAGGCATTACTTTAGAAGCAACTAACAACATGATAGTTAGTAAGAGTGTTTTTGTCTTTTTAACTACTTAAATGCCTATTGTTAGTAAAACATACCAAAAAAAAAAAAAAATCCTTTTTAAAAATTTTCATTTTGTTCAGCTATGTAACATTAGAATAGGGATGAACATAGTTAAAATAGTTTGATCAGAAGTAGATTATTTTTTTCAGTCCAGAGCTGGTTTGATGCTAAAATTCAGCATAAGTGACTTTCCCAAAAGTATCAGATAATGGAAGGACTGAAAACAGAATTAATTGTGTTTTGAGTATCTGACTACTTGCATGTCAATGGCAAACATACCTACGGCAAGTTTTGTTGCGAAAAAAGAAACCTTAATGCTCTTCAGCCAAGGTACCCTCTGCCACATACATTTACATAAAATGAAACATCCCATGAGACTCAGGAAACCTTCAACGTATGAAACTTTGTTACCCTGCCCAGTGTATTATTGCTGAGTAAAGTAGGAACAAGTAGTTGAGGTATCTTAGTGAATAATATGACCTCCCTTGTTTGCCTACAAAATGAATTGATAAACCATATTTAACTTGGCAAAGTACGTAGCAGTGATGCAGTAAACGCAATTTACAAAAAGTGAGAATTAATTTTATCTCAAAAATTGTATATTTTCTGGCCATTTTTGTCAACACTACAAAATAAAACAATCTTAAAAATTCTTTCATGACTTCAGTGTAATTTTTTAATTCATATTTTAACAAATAGAATTTTTGTAGTAATAAATTATGTTTCTAAGAAGGTTGCATTAACAACTTTACACATAAATGGTAATCTAATCTTCCAGATAAGTAGTTTAATAGATAGCTTTCTTATTAATAACAAAATGATAGAATCAAATAAGGGGTAATTTCTATTATCTTTATAAATAGATAAGAAGTATATAGATGTGAAAGAAGCATTGATGTGGAAAATGTTAAAATAACAAATCTTATTAGAAGAAGGAATTTAGAAATAACTTGCCAGGAGGGTAATGACCTCAATTAAATTTTATGTGAAATTATAATTGGCGTTTTTAATAAAGGAATGCTGTTGCAAATTGCCTATTTGATATCATAATATTACAGGACGTCTTATTTCCTCTGGCTTGTATTTATATTAACTAAAAATCTTTGAGATAATCAAGGAAGATTCAAAAGTGTTTGGAGTCTGCTCAGGTAAGTTCAACCCACCTTTCAATAGAAAAAAAAAAAAAATAGGGGGGGGAAGTGGGGTAGTTGTTGTCAGAAAGTGATCCTCTTGTTCTTTTGACCAAAAAGTTGTTGATATTTGACAGCTTGTTAGTCAAAACAGTCACATAATTTTTATTTTATTTTATTAGTAGTATTTTTTAAGACATGTTTGGGGCAAATTGGCAAATTTATTTTTACAACTATCCCGATAAATTATTGAGAAACTTCTAAAAATGTCCCAGATCTCAATTTCAATATATATATATATAATGAAAAGCAATGTTTCTAATTTTCATTCTAGTCATGTGCTAACTTCTAAACACAAATTAACATGGTAACTTTGAATGAGTTCTGCGCTCGAGACTTATGTTGAGGATTAGGAGGCATTGCCTGTGGAGTCCTCCAAAATATATCTCAGTATAATGTTTTCAACTATTTATTTTCATATTATTATTATTGTGTTAAAATTCAGTCTAAATACACTGAATGCTATTAGACCAGTACATAGTTTAAATCTGAGGAAAATATTGCCAAGAGAAAAGTCATCCTAAACAGTCTCTCAGTGTATATTTCTCCCTTTTTTTTTTTTTTTTTTTTTTTTTACCTAAAATAGATGCAGAAGGGTTGCAGTTGCAACAAAATTGCAAGGGAATATTGGCTCAGAGTGCTGTAGCTAAAAATACACTATAATACTTAGAGGATTACCTAATGAAAATTCTAAGCGAAAGGAAGTGGTGTCTGTAGCGTTTGCAAATAAGCAGCTGCTGCCATTCACAATCTACCCCAATTACCTTCTGTTAATCTGGCACATCTTTAAAATGAAATACTATGCATACTTCTTCATGGTTCTAAAATTGTAGACTTTTCTTCAGGTTCACCAAGAAAAGTCAGTATCACAAGTGACCTGTGTAATTGAATGTGAATTGTTTTGGGAACAGATTTCCACAGAGAAAATGAAAACTGGAATCACAAGGAATCCTTAGCATTTCTTACAACTGTAAGCCAATATATAAATGTAAAGAGAAGTATTCTTGATTGTTGAAAAAGAGATGAGTGTTCTTTTATTGTAAGATTGTCATTTACGTCTTATCATATTTATGTAGATATATGCATAAACACTCTTGGGATATACTGTAATCTAAGAAATAAATTCTGCTGTAGTTATGAAGAAGAAATGTTTTATGGATGAGAGTAGACTACTGAATCATCAAAGCACATTTCAGCAGTCCATTCAACTACTTGGCAAATTTAGTGAGATTTGAACATTTAAACCCAAAAAAGGCAACCTAGAAATCCTATGCTACACTTAGCTTTGAAGATGCCTAAGTTGATCTTCTGTCTACATTTTGGAACACAGAGTTCTTAATTTGTTTAAACTAATGAACCTTGGTATCCATGAGACCAGTACTTAGTTCTCATAAAGCCCAATTTTAATCCAGTTGAGAGTGATATTATATACAAAATAAAGTCATGGAGAAATCAGTTGTAAAAAGGAGAAAAACTGAGGCATGAAAGATTTTGTAGCACTGCAGATGTGTTGAATTTGTCTTTGTAAAAAAAACTACCACTTTCTGTCAACCACCATAGGAGTCTTAGCAGTTTTTTAGTGCAATACTTTAACAATTCTGACTTCCCCAAAGAATCCTGACAGAGGCTGCTGTAACTTGGAATTTCTCAAACATCTGAATGGTACCAAAAGACATTTCAAATTAAGAAAAGGCCAAAGATTCAAGGATGGAAATGTAAATCAAGGGTCAACATTATTGCATCATCATCACAAAATTTCACTTACAATTTCTACAAATTCCAGATTGTCTGGGCTCTTTTTCTGCTTTATACAAGAAGAGTAATATAATTGCACCTCTGTTTGCATTACAATAATCTAATTTTCAAGCAGCTAAAGACCACGGTCTAAGTATTGTATCATAATAGCATAATATGATTATCTCTTAGAAAAACATTGTAACAAAGATATTGCTACACTTCTAAAACAAATATGATTATTTCAAAGTAAATAAAACTCGCTTTCAAACATGCATAAAAAGCCCTAAACTATTGACCTTTCCTGTGATACCTGCTTGTGCTATATGAAGCCACAAGCAATTGCTTATCAAATTTATTGCATGTCATTGCAGTGTAGTCATTTTATTACGAAGTTATAATGAGAAATACTGGATCAACCAAAGAAGTCCAGAATGCTGAATTGCAGCTCCTGAAAAACCTCCTTACTATGATATGCTAAAGGAGAAACGATTGCTATGGCATACTTCTTTTCCAATCATGTAATATGGAAATCAATACCTGGGAAGCAACTTCCGAAAAAAAGACTT